TAGTTAAAGAAGACCGCCCATTGGAGTGATGTCTTCTAAACTTGCAGGATCGGCAAACCAGAAGACGTCCAATGCATGGCCGGTCAACCTTTGAGGAAAAGCTTGGCGGATCTCACCTGGCAACAGGATGCCTGAGGCCAAACACTCCAACACCCGCCGGAGAGCTTCCCCTGCGCCCAACGGCCTGTTGCAGGTGCCAATGGCTTTCTCGCACAGCAGCTCCAGGGGCTGGAAGACAACTGGATGGGGTCAGTACCCATGCTATAAAAACATCACAGAAAGACAGAAAGACTGACGGACGGGCAAGGCAAGCCCAAGCGTGAGGTCGGTAGGAACCCACCTCTGGTGTTTATCTCTCTCTCTCTCTCTCTCTCTCCACTGATGGAACCTCTTCTAACCAGTTCGGTAGATTTGATGAACCGGTTCTACCGAATAGGTGCAAACTGGTAGGAACCCACCTCTGATCAGAACACAATTTCTGTAGAGAACATTGTGTTGGCACTCTTATCAACCAATACATCAATCTGGACCCGGGAGAAAAATCCCTTTTGTGGAATACGTAAAAAAAAAAAATCTAATAATATTCCAGGATGGGGGAAATTGCTATGTAGCAGTGATGGGTACCAACAATGGTGCCCCTCATCAATGATGTTAGTCGGTTGGGTAATGAAACATCTGCAAGCCAAAAATCAAGCTCAGGAGGCACCAAGACCTCCACTGTTCAACCCTGAGCTGCACATCTGCTCTTCTACTGGTGCTCTCCTAGGCAGGGAGGACTTCTGCTCTGGATCCATCACTTTTTGGGCAGAAGTGTCCTTGCAGGGCAAACTTGGGAAGTACTACGTGGTAGTTGTGAAAACTTGGTCCTCCTTGCTCACTGAAAGAAATAAGGGTTGCACTGATGCTCTTTTCTTTTCAACAGACCTGGCTTAGGAGACAATCCTGGACCATGGATGGTCAAGGATAGTTCTTGAGATGTTGTTCAACTGGGTGCTTGCCCCTGAAGATTCTTATCTCACGGACAAGTAACTTAAACCCAAGTTCCACAGAAAGTACTAAAATCTGCAAGGATTATCATATTTTTCGGTGTATAAGACACATTCCCCCCCCCCAAAAAGAGGGTGAACATGGGTGTAGCTTATGCACCGAATGTAGCCCCGCCCACCTGCCGGCCCCCACTCTTTGCCTCTGCCTCCCAGCAATTTGCCTTCTTGCAGCAAACAGCCTGTTTTAGTTTCACCACAGATAGATTACTTTCAACCATCTGATTGTCCTTTGGATCGGCCTCCCAACCATCAGCTGTTTCAGACTGCAGGGATTGCCATTGCCTGTTGCCATCTCCGTGCCCCATTTTGCACCCATTCCAATCCCTGCCACCCAAAACGGGCAGAAAATGGGGTGTGCAGAGGCCGAAAACAGCGCATGTGGAGGCGGCAATAGGCAATGGCAATCCCTGCAGCCTGAAACAGCTGATCGTCGAGAGGCCGATCCAACCAACTATCAGCTGCTTGTAGTAATCAGGCTGTGCTGAAATTGAAATTAAAACACGTTTTTTGCTACAAGGAGGCAAATTGCTGGGAGGCAGAGGCAGATTTTTTCCCCCTTGTGCTAATCAGGCTGAACTGAAACTGAAGCAGGCTGTTTGCTGTTTGCTGCCAGGAAGCAAATTGATGGGAGGCAGAGGCAGATTTTTTTTTTCTCGTTTTCCTCCCCAAAAGCTAGATGCATCTTGTACTTCGGAGCGTCTTAAACTCCGAAAAATACGGTACGTTTAGAGAAGGAACTGGCTGGGGTTGAGGGCAGTTTATCCGATATCTGAAACCAGAAGCGGCAAAAGATTAACGATGGGGCTGCATTCTCCCAAGCAAATTTTTTTTGCAAACGTGGATTAAGCGAACACTCACCCAACCTTTCAAAGGTGCCCAGGTAGGAGCTCTGTTGCATAAATCTCTCAGGATTCGCAGCACAATCACACACGACTTTAGCCCGTTCGCTCTGGCCTAAAAGAAAACCAGAATGCTCCCGTTCTTGTCTGCAGGCTGCCCGCAAACCTAAACAACTACTTTCATTATTATTTTTTTAAAAAAAAACAAGAAGAAAACTTTTGAAAGGACTACGATAGGTAAGAACAAAAAGCCCAACCTGGAACCACTTGGCGTGTCGCAGAGACGCCAAAGCTTCGAGGCACTTTTGCCTGCTGAGTAAATCCGGAGGCTCTTTCACCGGGGTATTGTCTACTGGGGAGATGGGAATATGAGAGGAAACAAAAAGAGACATGCAGAGTTGGAACAAGCAGACAATTCTGATGCCCCAAACACAGAACAAATGCCAGCAAGACAGAAAGAGAGTTTTTAATAAGACGCCCAGAATTGCCCTGGCTTCCATTTTTTTTTTAACTCCGTAATTTTTAGGTCCTATCAAGGTGGCGTCCCATATATATATATATTTTTTAAACAAATAAATAAAAATTTAGCACATGTGCCAGGTTCTTTTTTCTTTTTTCTTTTTAAATAGTAGTAATTAGGCGTGTGTATGTTACAAGGAGCAAAACAGAGGCCGGTTGTTGTTGGTTTTTTTTCTTTCTCCAGTGTTTGCAGACAATCTGGGATCTTATTAATTGGTTAAAAAAGAACTTGGGGCAGACTGTACAAAGTGTGTTGCTTTGCATCGTTCTCGTGGTTTCTCGAGGCAAAAAGAAAATTTGGAGGCAGAGAGAGAGAGGGAGGAGAGAGGAAAAGAGAGGAGAGAGGAAAAGAGATGGGAAAAGAGGGAACAAGAGGGAGGGAAAGAGAGAGAAAGAAGAAAGGGGGAGAGAGAGAGGAGAGAATGAGGGAAAGAAAGAGAGATAGAGGGAGGGGGGAAGGGAGGGGAAGAAATGGAGAGGGGAAGAGAGGGAGGAAGGGAAAGAAAGAGAAAAAGAGGAGTGGGAGAGAAAGAGAGAGAAAGGGAAAGAGGAAAAGAGAGAGGGGGAGGGAGGGAAAGGGGGAGAGAGGGAGAGAGAGGGGAGGGAAAGAGAGGGAGGAAGGGAGGGAAAGAGAAAAAGAGGAGTGGGGAGAAAGTGAGAGAAAGGGAAAGAGAAAGAGGAAAAGAGGGGGGAGGGAGGGAAAGAAAGTGGGAGAGAGGGGAGGGAAAGAGAGAGAGGAAGGAAGGGAAAGAGAGAAAGGGAGGGAAAGAGATAGATAGTGGGAAAGAGAGGTAAAGATAGAGAATGGGAGGGAAACAAAGGGGGGAGAGAGGGGAGAAATAGAGAGAGAAAGGAAAAGAGAAAAAGGAAAGAGAAAAAGAGAGGGGGAAGGGAAGGAGAGAAGGAGAGGGAGAAGGGGAGAGAGACTGAAACTGAGACTTTTAGTAACTTCTCTGCTCCCTCCAAAAGGTTTGAGGGCTGCTTTCGTGAGGTTACCTACTTATCATCTGCTTTTTCAGAAAAGCAATGATCAAAACCCCTCAGAGCCAAACCAGGAATCTGCTGAGAGAGAAACTTTTATTATTTTAAACGTTCTCCTCACAATTTTGGATAAGGAAGCAACAAATCATTGACATTTATCCTCTTTTTCTGTTCTTCCAGCCTCGTGGCGTGGCCCATAAACTTTAGAAGGAGGGAAAAAAGCTGTTGGCTTCATCCATTTTCTCTATCTTTTGAGATAAGGCATGCAGCAAACATCCAAATACTTTGCTCCTTCGTTAGGTAGAAGTAATTTTTGGCGGGAGATAGATCTGTGAACAAGTTCTCGGGACTCGTCCCTTGTCATCAAATCAAAGGCACTCTGGATAAGATTCAGCACCCACAACTTTTAAGATATTTGGCCTACCGAGTTTGCTAAATTTGTCAGAAATGGTGTACGGTCTCCTGCTTGAGAAGGGGGTTGGACTAGATGACCTATAACTGTGATGGTGACTTTATGGCCAGCGTACCAGAGGTGGCACGGAGTGCCCTCTCTGTGAGCACGGCACTGTCGCCAGCTGCTCTTCTGGTTTTCCGCTGTGCATGGGGTTTGGCGGGAGCCAGAGTGCCAGAAAACTGCCCGAAAAATGGCCAAAACCCCAGCCATTTTTCAGACCATTTTCCGGGGTGTTTTCCGGACATATTGGCCTCAAAAACGGCCTGAAAATGCCCCCCAAAACAGCCAAAAAACCCAGGCACAAAAGTGCAAAGATCAGCTGGCTGGCACTCTTGAGCGTGCCAGAAACTCAAAGACCAGCTGTTCGGCACTCCGGCATGCGCAGATACACACAAGTTCCAATTTGGGCACGGTGCCAAAAAAGTTAACCATCACCGGCCTATAAGGTCCTTTCCAACTGTGTTAATCTGTTAAATGGGCACAAACCCATTCAGGACTCGGGAAATTCAACCTTCAGCTTTGGATGGTGGACAACCATGCTAATTTTTTTGTTTTGTTTTTAAATTAAGACAGGGGCAATATTGTATTCTGAACCAGCAATAAGAATGTCAACTTTGTCAAAACTTCCTCAAGCTCTCTTCTGGGGAAAGGAAACAGTTGATGGGTGTGTGGCTGAACACACACACACACACACACACACACGGAGATTGCTGGCTGGGAAGTGTGCAGTACAGTGCAAATTGCGGTCGGAAGGGCAATTTAGGTAAGGGTTTCCCTTGCACCTATGTGCTAGTCGTTCCCGACTCTAAGGGGCGGTGCTCATCCTCGTTTCAAAGCCAAAGAGCCAGCAGTGTCCGAAGACGCCTCCGTGATCATGTGGCCGGCATGACTCAATGCCAAAGGCGCACGAAACGCTGTTCTCTTCCCACCAAAGGTGGTCCCTATTTTTCTACTTGCATTTTTGACCTGCTTTCGAACTGCTCGGTTGGCAGAAGCTGGGACGAGTCACGGGAGCTCCCTCCATTAAGCGGCGCTAGGGATTCAAACCGCTGAACTTTCTGATTGACAAGCTCAGCATCTTAGCGTTCCACTAAGGGCCATTTATGGTTTTGTATTTTCAGCCATACTTTTATCCTCCAACTTTGGCAACTTTACCACTTCTGGACTTCCAACGCCTGCAACTCCGAGAGTTGGAAGCCCACAAGTGGTAAAGGGGCCAAGATGGAAGACCTCTGCTCTTACTCAACACCATGGGGCATAAGGAAGACGAAAAAGAGAATAAACCTCAAAAAAAAATCTGTCTCGCGTTCTGTCTTCTTGTCTTGTTGAGATACCGCAAAGCCTCACACAGTTACAGTCAACCCTCTTGTGATGTTTGCAGCATTGATTTTTTTAAAATTATTTTTCATTTTTGATTCGGTGGAGGGTTACTGGCGTGACCGGCGGGTAAGAGACGCCCAATGAAAGCTGCAAAGTCATCAACAGGATTAGCCCTCAAGTGGCTCACAAGCACAACAAGGACACAACTCTAGTTTCGGGGGGGGGGGGGGGTTCGGTTGGTTGGTTTTCCCGAAGAAGAAAAAAAAAAAAAGGAAGTTAGCTGTGGTTGTTGTTGTTGTTTTTTCTTCCCGCCTCTCCCCAACTTTTTAGCCGGCAAAACAATCCCTTCTCCTGTGAGAAGGAACTCATCACTCAATCCATGGATCTGGGGGTTATCTGGATCGGATAGAACTTTTGGTAGCGTTTGCGCTTCAAGGAAGGCGAATGGCGTTGATTTTATGAATTAACCAAATTTATGGAGCGGCATTGTCACAAATAACGGTGACAAGACTTTGCTTGAAAGGCATTGGGGTGTGTGTGTGCAAAAAACAACAACGACAGATTGTCCGTCTCCAAGGCCATCTCCACCAACCACGGATGGTCCCAGCAGCTTCCTTCACTCAAATCGTGCAGTTTGGGTAACCATTAACACAGAGCGAAGGGAAGGACAAATGATGATTTAGAGACTGCCCCCCCCCCCACCTTCTTCTGTCTTAATGGTTTCACCGTGGGAGGAAGATAAACCCTCCCCTCCAAGTGCTGGTTAATGCTTCCTTGAAGGAGCCATGCTGGAGGAGGTTGAGGGAAGACCTTGGAAAACAACAGGGACGGGGAGACGTTACGCTGCTGTGTTTTCGAACGGTTGCGCCTCCTGGTTGGAGGGGGTGATTGCGAGAGTGAAACTCTTGGGGGAGGGTACCGGGTGGGGGAGAAGAATGGAAAGAGGAGCTGGGTGGGTGGAGGAAGAGAAGGAGAGGACCAGTTGGGGGGAAAAAACCATGGGTAGAAAATGGTCATCGGTTCATGCCTGTCCATCAATGGTGGTGAAAGGTTAGTAAGGAAGTTCTAGGTAAGGTTGAGGAGATACAATAGGTCATGATTTACTCCACGGAGGTGGCCGGGGTGAAGAAAGAAGGGGCGGTTAGCATTGCAAATGGATGGAAGGTGGAATCTGGGTCCTCTAGAGGTTAATGGACCTCTTCTTCTTCTCCCTTGGATGCCTTTCTTGGCCCAACAATGGGCCACCTCAATGTACGCCAGCTCACTTTTACCCAGAAACCCAGGTTTTCCCCGCCCTCTTTTTTTCCTGACTTCAAGCTATGGGGTCCATAAAACAACGGGGGGCAGAGTGAGAAGAAAAGAAGCAGAGAGAACCCATAATGATAGCAAATCAACATTTTCAATAGCCTCAGTTCTTTGGAAGTGGAACTGAAGAAATATCTGAAGGTTGGGTCAGGCTCAAGCTGAGGTCCATGAAATCATAGAGCAAATGCGAAGGGGGAGAAAGTTGAGGGTTGTTGTTGTTGGGGGGGCTGTCATTCATTGCTCCCAGCAGCTGGTACAGGGCAGGGGAAGGGAGAGTCACCCCCCGCCACCCAAGGAGAGAGGGAGAGAAAAAAATGGTCAAACAGAAGAGCCATTCATCCAAATGATAGACCATCAATAAAGACACAGTTTCACTATATCGAAAAACAGACAGCAAATGGACCAAAATTAATAAACGGACTCACAATAGAAAAACGCTTTTTGTTTTGGATTTTTTTCAATTTTTTTAAAAAAGACAATAGTAAAAAGACCGTGTGTTGAATCCTTCTTTTGTCTGCATGGCACAGTTTTGGGAAGAGTGCCAACCAAATACCCGGAGTTCCAAGATTTGCTGCTGAAAAGGATTCAGTTGGTGGCATCGGGGCAGGGAAATCCAATTGTGCCCTCCTCAATAGAATTTGTACAATGCCTGGATTTGGGTCTAGGACCGGGTTGGCAAACTTATGGAAGTGGCACGGACTGTCCTGCACGGGAATGCGCGGCTTCGCTGACGCCTGCATTGCAGTGGCCACATACGCGCCAACCAGCTGTACTGCACACATGCGGGAGTGACAAAACCCGGAAGGACAGCGTTCCGTGGTGCATGCATGCGCCGGCACTTGAACCTCTGGGTTTCTGGTGCGTCCATGCGCACCACCTTGCTCTTCACTGGGCACGTGCCGAAAACCGAAAGTTCGGCTGTTGGCGCGTACATGCAGGATGGAACGCTGCTCTTCCAGGTTTCGGCGCGAAGGACAGCGAGGCCGCGCGTTCCTTGCGGGATGGTTCTGCGTGCCATTTTGCGGCCCATGGTGACGAGAAAGGTTAGGATGACGGCAACGATCCCCAAAATAAAATGGGGTTGAATGGCTGGGGCATGGATCCAACTTGCTCTGGGCTCCATTCGGGACCTGTTCGGGACCCAAACGAAGACAGTAGATCCAACATCTAGGACGCGTGGCGTACAGTGATATTGGCTTGATATTGCATGGAGGAAAGGCAAGAAGACCCCTATGGGGTAAACTCAGAAGTGGGAGAGATCAACCACAGGGAAGAGGAGGCTCAGGGACATCAGAAGCTCAAGTCCACTTGGAGAAGGAAGGGCTGGCAGGATACAAAACAAAGATAGAAACCCATCAACTAACCAAGCCATCCCACTGAGTAGCCTGGGCTTAATTTGAAGTATGAAGATCTCCACAGCGTCAGGCCTGGAAGCCATCTTTTGCATCGGGCCTTCCGGCTTGCCGCACCGTGTGTCTCCTTTCAAGAAGAGGGGGGACTGTGAAATTATGCTGGGCTCACTGCCGTCCTCTCCTTAACACAGACGGGGAGGCCAGCCTCTGATACTTGCAAAGGTGGTCAAGGTGGACAGAGAAACAGGAGAAGGGGCACAGCAAGGAACGAACCAGATAGAATTTCACAAATGGCCATCCTGTTCGGCCACCGGAGTCAGCAGCAACCGAGGTTTTGTTCGAGACTGGCGTGTCTGTTCGTTTGTGGGAAAAGCAGAGTCACACATTGTTGTGGTTCGGAGGCCTTTTCTCACAATAATTGTCCCCCCTGTTCATCACCAGGCAGCGTTTAAAGCCAACTGACTAGACTCGATATCGTCAACCGATAGCGAAGCAGAAGAAACGTCAGTGATGAAGGTTACCTGGTGGGACATAATCCTACTCAAAGGACTATAAAATTCAGAAAACAGGGACTGACTTTAATAAACCTTTCTCTTCTCTTCTTTATATTAATATCTGGAAATTTTGATACATTTGATTACATGATATATTATACAATATAGAATATATTAAGAGAATACAGAAATAGAGCTTATGTAAATAACCAACGATACTGATATGGACTCGCTGCAATGAGCAGAAATTCGTGTTTTGTTTTTTAACGTTTTAAAAAAAGCTTAATAATTTTTTTTTTTTAAAGAAAAGAAATCTTTCTCGTTCCTTGGCACTAACGGAGAACTTGTTCCTAGAATCGGTTAATTAGAAAAGAACCAAGAAACTGCCTCTTCTACCTCCAAACCAGCATCTAGTGAAAGAGGTCACAACCTCCGGAGGTTTTTAATGTCAGGTTATAAATGCTCTCCTGGTGCGTAGACCCAAATCCAGAAATCTGAATCATTTACTTTCCCTACCGGTTCGCAAATGTGAATGCACGCAGCCCTGATCTGAATGCTTTCAGCGCTGGAAGGAGACCAAAACCCATCTAATCCCAACCCCCTGGGCCTTCGAGCATCCGTTTCCAGACTGTAGAAATAAAACTTTTCTACAGCCTAGGGGAGAGCTCACTCCAGACACTGGCTCTCGTTTCACACCAAAATAGCTGGCTGCAAATCGGGGCTGAGCCAAATCCTTGTCAGACTCTGAATCAGGGGGGCATCGTAGGAAATTTATAAGTTTCTATCCCTCTGGAAATTCAAGCAGTGTCTTCGAGGGCAGGGCTGTGCAGTAGTTAGAATGCAGTATTGCAGGCTAATTCTGCCGACTGCCAGCAGTTCGACCCTGGCCAGCTCCAAGGTTGACTCAGCCTTCCGAGGTCGGCAAAATGAGGACCCAGATTGTTGGGGGCAAGAGGCCGACTCGGTAAACCGCTTAGAGTGGACTGTAAAAGCACTGTGAAGCGGTATATAAGTCTATTGCTATTTGGTGACGTGAGACTCTTCTAGGTTTGATGTCCCACAAGAAGACTGGATCTACTCTGGGTCTACCACTGGCCAGGGGAGGTCAGCAGCTACGCACCCTTCCCATGGGGCCAAGGGAGACCCGTTATCACCCCAAACCAGCCCCTTCCCTTCCAACTACTCTCTTTACCTCCGTCCTTCTTCTCGGGTTCATCCCGGATTAGCGGAGAGGTGAGGGTCACCTTGAGGGTCAGCGGGAGCCCCGTTGTGCTACGGATGACGATGGCCGCTTCGCTGGGATGATGCTCTATGTGGTACTTCTCTTCGGTGAGTTTCTGAAACGATCCAGAAAACCGGCTCCGTCAAGAAAAGCTGGAGCCCAGCCGAGAAACACTCATCCTTCGCCTCTGCGGCTGTAAACATTTAAACAACCCGCAGCAGGAGCCGAGCGATCCTTTTGAGTCTTTCCTTCTGGGGAAGAAAATGATCATTGGGGGGGATTTGCTTTTTATGCCTCGCTAGAAATGCAGGCAGAGGATTCCTGGAGCATCCAAGAACAGTCAAGAAAAAAGATAAAAGTTCCCCTCGCCCGTATGTGCTAGTCGTTCCCGACTCTAGGGGGGGCGGTGCTCATCTCCGTTTCAAAGCCCAAGAGCCAGCGCTGTCCGAAGACGGTCTCCGGGGTCATGTGGCCGGCATGACTCAACACCGGAGGCGCACGGAACGCTGTTCCCTTCCCACCAAAGGTGGTCCCTATTTTTCTACTTGCATTTTTTCATGCTTTCGAACTGTTCGGTTGGCAGAAGCTGGGACAAGTAACGGGAGCTCACTCCATTACACAGCACTAGGGCTTAGACACTGAGCCACCTTCTACAATACGATCCACTAAGAATAAGATTTCTCTTCTTAGTTATGCTGACTGGCAGGAACAACATCTACAAGGACTGTATTTCCTATCTGGTGCAGGATTTTTAGAGGGCAGACTTTTCAGCAGTGGGCAGCAGTGGGGGTGGGGGCTGCTCTTGCTCAGCTCAGAAAAGACACCTTGCCAAGGAAAAATGCCCTTCAAAATGCTTCTTCCAGCAACCGGCAGCAAAAGAGGGGGGGAGGGGGAGGAAACCCTGGGGAGTAAAACCAAAGAAACCTGCAGAGTTTTCTCTCTCACCTTCTCCAGAGACCAACCTGTGTTACAGAGAAAAATGGATGCATTTTTAAACTGCCCCAATTTTTCCTTGGTTAAGCAATAAATAAAGAAATAAATAAACGCTGGGAAACATTTCTTCAATGCCCAGATAATATAAAACACTAGCTGAATACCCGGCATGGCCTGGGTATTTATAGACGTCAAAGCGTTTGTATGACGGGGAGGCATTGGGAAGGGTCTTTCTTCCACCTACTCCTATGCCCATCATCCCTGGCCTCTCCCTTCCCCCTCCCATCCGCGCTCCTCCTTCCCGCCCTGTTTACAATCCTGGCTCTTTGCCCCAAATTCATCAGGCGCTTCCCCATTGTTCCACCGGAGGGCGAACGTCACGGCTGGCTTTCCAGAGGAAGCTGCGAAGGAACGGACATCACAAACAATTGCCGCTCTAGGACGCCGCACTTACTCTCCTTAACAGCCCCAGGCTCTCCCTTCCCCCTCCCATGACATCCAAACAATTGCCGCTCTAAGACACCGCACTTGCTCTCCTTAACGGCCCAGGTTTTCCCTTCCCCCTCCCATGACATCACAAACAATTGCCGCTCTAGGACGCCACAGTCACTCTCCTTAATGGGCCAGGCATTCCAGAGTTATGCTGGAACACACACACACACTCGCTGATAGAATAAAACATGATGCAGCAACAGGATTAATTATAAATGTGGACTTCTTGAGTTTGGCTCACCTGGATTTGGACAGGTAGATTGTCTTTGACGAGGGATAAGAGGGTCTCTGTGGGCTTTTCTTTGCACATCAGGACTAGTTCCAGGTCCATGTCATCCTTTATCAACAAGCCTTTGGCCACCAAACCAATCCTCATCACGCCGCACAAGATCCGGCCACCTTGCTCCCTGGGGAAGGAGGAAATGGCGTTATGGTGATTGGTGGCACAGTCAGACCGTTGTTTAGACTGGATTTGGCAGGTTTTGGCCCACCTATGGAGCCTTCCCAAGGACAGATGTGGACATTTGATGGTATTACATTGCAGGATGTAAGCTGTTCCAAGCCAAGCTGCCTTCTGCAATTGACCAACGGGGATTTTTGTCAATGCCAACGGTGCTCATAACGGTACTCCAGTTGTTTTGGGGATCGCACTGAAGAATCTTATGGCTATGGATGCCACCTCTGCTTTCTTTTGACACAGTCTTTCTACGCCTTGCAATTCTTATTATTCTTATTATTCTTATTGTATTTTGCACCCACCTGCTTGACTCTCTTAACTCCAGAATGTTTGACAAGGGACGCACAAGGCTTCGGAGCGTGCAGAAATGTGAACTCCAGGCTGTTAACTCATTAGAGCAGCTGCTTTGGCTTCCAGAGTGTAACGCAACTCACACCAAGAGCATTGTGTCAACAGCTCAGTGACAACGGGTGGCTGGGATTTCAGAAAATGCTGGGCACTCAGCTCTCTCTCTCTCTCTCTCTCTCTCTCTCACACACACACACACACACACACTCACACAGAGAGCAACTGAAGGGCAAATGGAA